ATGTGTTTGCATAAGACGGGTTAGAGGACAGGTGGCTGATAGAAAATTGTTATCCTGTACTGTACCTTGATGCTTAAAGGAAGTTTGTTGTCACAGTCAGCCTGATGGTACAGTACATGCAATTTGGAGTAGCTGTTGAGGTTTTCTAGCAGTCAATTTATTCTCTGCAATGTCACTTAAGGCATTAGATTTGATGGTGAAGATGAAGAATAACAACTCTTTATGGGAATCATCAAATCAAAAGTAATTTCTTTTGGTGTTTTTTTTTACTTTTCGTCCATCCTTTCTGTTCTTTACTTTCTTGTTCTCACTGTACATGTACATGTATTTGTCTACAGCAGATTACCAGGACTGAACTGTCAAAATGAATACATTTAAGTGATGTTTTGAGTCAAGGAGAAAGAGTCATCAAGAGATACTGATTTCATTTCATATAGTATTGTTGTGTGACAAAAAGTGCGTTCATTTGGTTTGAGCAGAAAATCAGTCCAAAATGATACACTCTTACTGTAGGCCACATCGAAAAATAATTGGTGAGAGTCCTTTTTAGTTTTAAATCTTGGGGCGGGAGGGCATTTATTTTGTTTTGATTTTTTCATTTTTTACATACATCTTTGCTGGATTGGAAAATGTGCGAGCATTTTCCTCAGTGAAATAAGTTTTATTTATTTTCTTTATGTGAGGGCCTTTTACACAGGCAAGCCATTCGTCACAAAAGGAGATTGGGGTTGTACAGCCAGGCGAAAATAGGAGGGTTTTCTCATAGAGGGTCACGGTGCTGTAGCTCTGAAGTGGAATCAGTATCAGGGAATGGCTGCCGCTATTGAGTATTGACCCAGCATACAGCAGAGTTCTCAGGCTGCATTGGAATTACTGGCTGTGGCTGCAACCGCATTGTACAAAGCTATTGTGGTTGCTGCCTCGCCAGCTGCCGCAGTTTCCATACTTGTAGGTTTATGCACATGACTGCAACCGCGGCCAATAATTCGGATGCGGCATACACAAACATGCTAACAGTTTGGTGAATCTCAACCTCGTTCCTATGGCTTCGATCTTGCCACGCCATGGAGTCAATGTTGGGTGAATCTGCACTCGTCCATGTAGATGTTCAGGAGTAATCGGCAATTTCCAGAAGTACATGTATTGTTTCCAAAGCGTGTAACAGAAGATCACTAAACTTGAATGTGGGATCATCCGAAAGGCTATTTTTGTTTTGTTTTGTTTTTTGTTTTTTCCCCAATAAATAAAACATAAAAATTTGGGGCGGGTGTATTTCTTTGGGACAGGCAGGAACAATCAGCAACGTTTTTGTAATGTGGCCTTATTACGGAACTTGTTACATAGAAATAATTATAATCCCATGTGTCATGTATTGCATCAACATTTTTCCTTCTCATTTCTTCTCTCTGGTTGAATCCTGTCCAAACTACATG